AAAAACTTACATAATACATCTACAAATAAATTAAATCATAAAATTAAACAACAAAATAATCAAACAATTACATGTGATAATCTATTAGAATCAATTCAATTAAATCAAAATAAAATAGAGAAATGTGCAAATACAGTTGGGAAGAAAAATAAAAAGAATTATAATCGAATAATTAAACGATTGAAATACAAAATTCGTTCAACAAGTACAGTTATTCAAAAAACAGATAAATCAAAAGTTTTTCATTTAGGTAAATTACAAGATTACCATAAGAAATCCGAAGAATATATGAAAAAAACTGAAGCATATAAATGTTTAGATCAAAATGATCCTTTACCAAGTTTAATAGAACGTACAAATAAATATCTGTTAAATTTAAGATTAAAAAACTATATTACGCAAAAGCAATATGAAAACTAGGGATTAAATCAAATGAAGTAGAATTAGCACACCTTTATTATTTACCAAAAGCACATAAACCTGATACTCCACTTCGACCAATTATTGCTGGATTAAAACATCCAACTATAAAAATATCAAAGTTTCTTGACGAAATACTTAGACCGTTGTTTGATCAAATGGCAGCAAATACAACAGTTACTTGTGGAACTGAAGTTATTAAACAATTGCACGTTTGGTCAAAACAAAATCTACGTGAAGAAACTGTATTATGTTCAATGGATGTAATAGATCTATATACAATGATTCCACAAACAGAAGGAATACTTGCAATTAGAAAAATGTTAAATTACTTAAACATAAAACAAATTAAAGGTATAACAATTGAAACTATTATTCGTTTATGTCGTTTTGTAGTACACAATAACTATTTTTCTTATAATGGAAAATTTTATTATCAAGTACGAGGTGGTGCGATGGGCTCACCATTGACATTAACAATTGCTAATTGTTACATGTTCTTTTTCGAACGTAGCATTGTTAAACAAGTGAATAATAGCAATGGACTTTACCTATGATATATCGATGATATATTTATTACTATTAACTGGCCAATACAACATTTGTTAAAGCAAATTAACCGTTGGAATCAATTCGACATAAATATTAAATTGAAAGAACAAATTGGCCAGTCAACGAATTTTCTTGATTTATATATAGAAAATAAAAATGGTACACTTTTTACAAAAGTTTACCACAAACCATCATATGAACCATATTATTTACCATTTACAAGTGTTCATCCAAAACATATGAAAATAAATATACCCTATACAATGTTAATTCGTGCAATTAAATATTGTTCTACATTTGAAACATATGTAGATGAACGTGAAAAATTAAGAATGGCTTTTCTATTGAATAAATATCCAAATGAATTTATCGACAAACAATTCGATCGCGTATTCCAAAAACATAATTTAATACAACCTGTATCCATAAACGATTACAAAATTATACGAGAAAAATTAATTTATTCACAAAAAAATGAAAGCATTCAAATTGATTATAGAAGAACACTATTTGTTCATTTTACATATTGTTTAAACATGAAAACATTCCCGGCAAAATTTCATGCACTTTGGAACAAATATTTTATAGAATCTCCAATAAATGAAATAAAACCGGTGCTAGGTACTCGTAATGTTAGAAACCTACAACAACAATTGATAAAAAATAAATAATAATCTCCATATGATATAGTATTTATTAAACCAAGTGAAAAGATTAATTGAACCAAATGAAAAGATTAAGTAAACCAGGTGAAAAGATTAATTAAACCAGGTGAAAAGATTAATTAAACCAAGTGAAAAGATTGATTCAAAAATTAAAAAATTAAAAATTAAAAATTAAATTTATATGAATATTTCTTCTATGGTATCGATGAAAATTGAAACAATTAGCAGATGTCGATGATTATAGTAAAGGAAGCTTGTCCTTTATTATTCAACTCTTGGAAAGGACATTGGTCCTTTTAATTTAATATTTCATATTTTATTTTTATTGTGTTTTTTTCTTTGTTGTGTCCTTCGTCGCCGTTGAATTCTTTGTTATTCCTGCCATCTTCTATCATATAAAAAAATTTTTATATATAAAAAATTTTTCATTGTACGTGTATTCTATACGTCTTTTAAACGAAATGTTATTCTTTTTTTATCTTGGTGGTGCATACAACTATATGTATTTCTAATAACCATTTTATTTCTTGTGCCTTGATTGTAAATGCAGAGCCCTGATGAGTGTTTCATTATTTTAATAAATAACATGAAACGCGTTGGCAAATTAAGGACTGCATTTATTTAAATTAATTTCTTTGGCACAAGTCACAAAAAAGTTCTTTATTCATCTAACTCTCGACAAAAAAAATTGATTGCTGAGAAGCAAACGTGAGATACCAGCAGATTGTATTTATCTTTGTTTCTCATCATAGATAGGACAGTCTGTTTTTCAATAGAAATCAAAATGATCCATCGCTAAAAGATAAAAGCGGTAACTCCATGATGTTGAATTTTTGACCTAATCCCTGAGGGGGACCAGGGGTAAATTTTCGGACGACACAAAAAAGTTCTCAAAATTTCGTGAAATTCATATGGATCGACTTAGTTTTTTATGCTGATTCAAAATATCAAATTCATTCTGTTAAATTATTATTCTTCGAATCGAATTTTTCGAAATAACAGACTAAAAATTGTTAAATCATGCAAGAAAACCAATATGCATTGACTTTTGTGAAGTGAGGAGTGTTTTTTCATAGATGTCTTTATATCATTTTGTAGACCAAACAGTTGTGGATCAGACGCACTAAAGCTTTTCTCGTTAACATTAACTACAGATTTGAAATATTTTGTGAAAGAATGAAACCCTACCAAGAAAAACATATTTTTTAGTGATTTTAGGAGGTAGTATTATTTTTGATGGATCTCATCTAAATTTCAATTTTTTTTCATTCAAAATTATACCAAAATGAACAGGAAAATATTCTCTTTCAGAATCACTAGTCATAGGAATTTCAGAAGAGATAATTAGTAAAAAAATCTGGCGTGATCCGAATTACCCCAGATAAGTTTTCAACATAAAAACACTGGTGTCAGTGTTATGAATGCTGTGTTACAAGAGTACATCGATTGACCAAGATATTTTCAGGTCCCATAGAAGATATTTTGGACTATCGAATGGTATATTTCTGATTTCATAGAAATCAATACGAAAAGAGTTATGAGATGGGAAAATAACTTTCTGTCATTTCTGCTGGAGTGATCCGAATTACCCCACCTAGTTTGGCTTACTGATCCGAATTACCCCAAATGGGGTAATTCGGATCAGCTCGGTACTGCTTCTGCCATTTTAACTGATACTTTTTCTCAGTGCATGATTTTTCGGAGATTCTTTCGTCAGTAGACAGAGGACACTTTGAACTACTTATGCTCCAAAAATCACTGCGAGATGTTATAAAATGTCTGAGAACGAGCAAAAATAAAATAAAATTTCGATTTTGTGATCCGAATTACCCCAGACGACTCTATTTATCACCGCGGTTTTGAAAACCGTTGAATACCGTGCTATGAAATTCTGCGGTTTCCAATTACTATACCGCGACTTTTTAGACCGTTGGATACCGCGGTATTTAGAACCGCGGTTATGAATACAAGCAACACGGTTTGAGAAAACCGCGGTTCAGAAAAACCGCTATCGACCGCGGTTCTTTAATCCAAACCGCGGTTGCCTCTGATAACACCGCGGTCGAATGAAAAAAACCGCGGTTTCGACCGGTTTTTCGAAAAAAATTTTTCCGTGGGTAGTTCAATTGATTATGGTATATCTATTTATGTTTGTATTAAGGCATCATAATTTGAATTTGTAATTATCTCATTTGTTCAATCACTTATTAAAGTTCATAATAGTATAGCTATTCATGAAATTTATACATGGTTAAAAAATATTCATCAACTTGATTGGTCATAGATACAAGCATGTGGACATGAAGCTGCTAGAAATCTTGAATAAGCAGCCTATGAATATAAATTATTATTAAATGAACATTTTAAAACTCTTTCCATGTCTAATGAAACAAAAGATGATAAGATATTATCTGGTTAAGTCTTCATCAATGACCAGAATTAATTACATGGAATGATACATATATTAAAATGCAAATGGCTTTTTTACAAGATGATAATGATGATTTAAGCAAAGCGATGGAGACAACTATTGATATAAATGCTATTCGATAAGAAATCGAATTTTATTTTCTAAAACAACACATAACAAATTGATTTTTATTATGTGCAATGAGTTGTTTTGAAAATCAAGATTTTGAAGCTTTAAAAGTAGCTATGAGAAAAATGCCAAATTCACAAGCATCTTGTGGTTAGGATATGGAAGCATTTGACATGTTAGCAACTGTTTAAAGATTATATCTGTGGTCACTTAATGCAGTATTTCAATTAACACAAGATTTAACATGAAATCATAATGTTGATGAATATGCATGATGGTCAGAAGAAAGAGCTACTATTAGTCAAGTAGCAGCTTTATATCAAAGTGAAGTAAGACCGAATTCAAAATTGAATTTTATTTTTATAATGATTTTTGTTCGTCTTTTTAGAATCGTAAAGTTCCTCTTTTACTAGATCAAAAATTTGCACCTGTTCAACACAACGTACGAGCATTGAATTCTATTCTTGTTTACAGTCAATCAAGTTTTAATAATCAAATGAAATATATTATTGACAACTAGCTTTAACATACTGTTTATTTTTTGTTTATCCTATTTGAGATATTAAATATGATATTTAGGGTGAAAGAATATCTCGAATGGAGAATTGTAAAATAATTATGAGAGAAAACCTTTATTTAATTAGTCACTTTTTTAATCTGAATTTTGTACATCGTAGGTTAACTAAATGGTTATAAATATCATGAAAAGTCTTTGGATTATTAACTTATTACTACTCAGAAATTATATCTTTTTCGTTTTTCTAGAGATCTTGTTGGAGTTTTTATCGGAAGATACGATTATGATGATAGTGTACCCGAAACATGATTTATATAATCCGGTAGATTTTTTGTTTGTATTTTAGAATAAAAGCAAATGAAAAAATCGAAAGCTTTCGTCACTAGCTATTTTTCATCAAGGTCGTTCTCTATGCCCAAGTCGAACTTGAAACTTCAAAGTCACTTTTTCATAGGATTATTAGGGTAATTTTTTTAAAATGAATATCTTAAAGGTGCAAGTATTCATAAATCATTATGATCTACATCATAGATATAGTTTAGACTTCAAAGCAATTAAGCAGTTGGAAGACTTCTCTCTGTACTAATGAAAAAGACATTGAAGAGAACAAATTCTATATTAATAAACCAAGAAAGACCTTAGTTTTTTGTAAGAAGACAGAGCTACCATCCAGTTAACTCATTAATATATGTGTTTTTAAAGTTTGATTTTGTTTCGCGAATGAGGCCTATATGATTACATAACTGAATTATTAGACTTTTATAAAATTTTGATACTAATCATTAATTTGTATATTTCTAGGTGCATCATCAGCTATAGATTCTAATTGAATAGCTCTTCGAATGGGCGCAGCACGAATAGCTCGTCGATAAAATAATTTTACATTAGCTTCTAAATGACTTATTCAACAATTTCAATCAACTCATACATGATCAGCAGGTCCACTAACATCACAATTTAGTAATACTTCATTAGAATCTCCATTACGTGCGTTTCATTTCGATGTATCATCAGTTAAAACCTATTCTCTCGCTTCACTTTTAACAATGATTGAACTCTACCAAAATATTCATATGGTTTCCATTAAACTTGAAACTGAAACAGGACAATGAATGCATGCTCTATTATTAAATAAAGCTAATAATGTAATTATCACAATTGCTATTGAATTTCTTTCACGAAGTGTTTTACGACATTTAATTAATGAAAGTCAAGTTAGTCCATCATTTAATAATTAGCGTTTATTAATTAATATTGAAAAATGTTCAAGAAATTTATTACATATTGCTAAATAGTCACGTAGTGCAATTGAAAGTAATTATGAAACAACGACAACAAATTTTATATCATTAGGAAAATTATTTCAATTACGAAAACAATATCTTATTACTGGATTGAGTACTGATATTTCTGGATATTTGTTTATTTTAGAAGATTTATTTTCAAAACAGAAAAAAAAAGAGTTCTAATCATATATTTTTCCTTTTTAGAACCTTTTGTACGAAAAAATATTCCTCTTGATGAAACTATTAATTGGAGAATTATTAGATTTTTCAACATTAACTTGTCCAAATTTGACTAACTCATGGTTTAGATTTGCTGATTGGTCTTATATGTGGGAGAGACAATTGCTGTCACAAGCTATATCGTATGAAGTTAATTTGTTCATACTATTCAATAATTTTCGTGTTTTTATTAGATTATCTTCATTGAATATGGGACAACAAGTTTGTGGAATTCTTCCAGCGGTTTGTTTATTTGATTCTATATTGAAAAATAAAATCTCTTCCAAGGCGACTACAAAATTTTGATTACAAAAATAAGATTCATTTTGACTTGCAGAGATACGCTTTCTTAGAAAGTCTAAATATATTCTGTTCTATAATCAAAATGTGTACTCTGAGTAGAAATTTGCTTACCCCATTCTTATTCGTTTAAATATTGAAATAAATGTTTCTATGAAAGATACATGCTTACAAAAGCTAAAGAAATCATACTAAATGAAATATGAGAATGAAAAAAATGGCAGAGCAAATATTTTATAGAATCAGCTTTCCATTTATAAACAAAATGAATGATTAGTAGAATATTCGAAATGTTTCAGCCGAAAACAACATTCCCTTATCAACATATGGAATGCTCAAAACATTTTATTTATAAAAAAAACTCGAATTTGTTTGAAAATTCGATATCTCGACCAATGAGCACATTTTTTCTATTGAACATTTCAGAATCTTCTACTAAGCATTCATCTTTTTGTAAGGAATGAATTTCAGATCGAAATATAGCGATTTATTTTTTTACTCAAAACGAAAAAAAAAGATAAAAATTTAGTAAAAAAGTCATAACTCAGTTCCATAGAAGAAGAAGAATAGTCTTACTATATGGGGTACTACATAGTCATAGATAAAATATATCAAACAACTACAAAGTCATGAAGGCTAGTCTCGAGAGATCTACGGACACGAAGTCTTTTAGGATTTTTCTAGTATTACCAAGATCTCATTCTTAACTAAATATCATCTTAATAAAACTTGTAACAGTTCGGATAGTTCTATTTTTAGTGTTAATATGTATGAAATACGAAATACTAAAATAGTATTCGTTATGACTACAAACTTCAATCGTTATATTTGCTTCACATTAGCTGTCTTTGAAACGCCGCTATAACAAACTATTTCTCAAGTAGTTTAATGTCATACATTTAAAATTTACTGGTTTTTCTCGAAAAGATAAGGCTCTATTATTTGATTAAAAATGACTCAATCGATTTCATGCCTGATTGGATGAACTCGATTGAGATATTTTGATTTCGATTTATTTTATGTTCTTTATCAAAGATTTATTTCAAAGAAAGATTTCAGTTTTGAAATAAATCTACAACTAATCAATAGCTTTTTCACGATAATTAATTATTGATGTTTTTTTTGTGTTTAGGAAATTTCATCCAACGAAAAAACTGAAATATTTCATGTAATATCTTTATAATTTGAATTTTAACTGATGATGATTCTGAACTTACAAATTTAATATTCTTCTATAGATATTATTTCTAATTTTTTTTTAATGTAGACTGCTGCTGAATTATCATCACTGCATTCATATCTTACTGATTTATCACGTGCTTGTTCATTACTTACAAAGCATCCAACCTTAATTGAACAATTACTTACATTGCATCCACAATTTTATTTACATCGTTATTTTGTTTTACAATTAAGTAATATTAATACATATGGAAATTTGAATGAAAAAAAAATCAAATAATAATGATGATGCACCAAATGTTCTTGTTACATTAAATTTATTACGTGTACTTGTACGTTATCCACAACAATTACGTAATATATTTGAAATAAATCTTGTTAATGTACCAACTGTTGCATGGAAACGTCTTATACCACAATTATTTTCTCGTTTGAATTATCCTGATAGTTTTGTTCGAGATTATGTTACGAATTTATTAATACGCATAGCAAAAGATTATCCACAATTAATACTTTATTCAGTTATTGTTGGTATAACTGATGATTCAAAAATGAGACGTATTTAATCACGAGAGATGAAAATATTTATCAAAGAAAATCTTTGAGTACACATGGATCAGATAAAGATGAATCACAAAATGATATTGAAGAAGATGATGATATTGGACAACAAGAAAATGTTGTAGCTATACAAAATAGTTTTAGACTAATCTATAATGTACTTTCGGAAACAAATGCACATGCAGTTGGACAAGTTAAATTATTTGTACATGAATTATGACGTGTTACTGTCCTATGGGACGAACTTTGGTTAGGAACTATGGCACAACTTCAAGTAGAAATTAATCGGTTAGTTCGAAAAATAATTATACAGCAGAGGAAACCTAGGGCTTTAACAGAAAACGTTGTAAACAGACAGAAACTCTGGTAATCTATAGAAGAGATGATTCTTATCTAAGCGAAAATCAATTACTGATGGATAGGAATTTAACATAGAAATCTCTCGAGATACCAAATCCATTTATGACTGAAACATTTTTGAAATTTTCCCTAAAAACTTGTGACCACTTGAAAAATCGACTTGATTTCAAATTTTGCACGTATGAATCGCACATGAGAGAATTTCGAATATTGAAAATCACAGAATACAAGAGAATAGGAAGTTATAAACTTATTCGAGAAACTAATTTCATTGAGAATTCAGTTCATGTAAAATTTGATATTTGATTTTTCGAATTTTTTTTATGAACATAAGAATCGAATAACTTTAAAACATTCAACTTCTTTCTTATATTTGAGTGTTAATTGAGTCCATCTGATTTTAAGTTACATTAAAAAAGAACCTGTATCCATATAGAATTCCACTCTCTGTTTTTCCTTTTGGATGAGATTTTCCCTTTAATAAATAGAGTTTGTATTATTAGTCTGTAAGTACCAAGCTGCACGTTCATACTTTTTGAAGGCTTGAGTTAAAATTAGTCTCGACAGAAGTTTTTCCTTAACAAGATCCAGCATAAAAATTATAAAATCAGTAGTAACACTAAAATTCTTAGTCAGATAGCACAGATTTTGTTATATCTATGTAGTCTTCAAAAGAAAATAATTTATGATATATATATATGATTTGTTCTATTTAGACGTGTCGATGTACTTAAAGATGAACTTCAATGTTTAGAATCTATGACATATTTAACCAAGGGCGAAAAAGAATATTTTATTTAAATCAGTAAATTCTTATATTCATTGTAAATCACATTTTGTTTTCTTTATTTTATTCGATTTACAACCGTTCTTGAAGCAATTAGTCAAATAACTCGTTCACCTGCTGAAACACCACGTAAACAAATATTTCAGAAAGATTATAGTAAACAAATAGGGGCAGCTATTGAACAATTAAAACAGCCTATTATATTATCTAATTCACATTCATGTTGGTTACAACTTTCACAAGTACAAAACTAAGAAAAAAAACCTTAAGTTATTGATTCTCATATTGTTTTTATTTTTGAAAATTAAATCACATTAGCTCTATTCAATGTTACATCGTGCGGGTAAACAATCACGTACAATTCATACTATGAGTCAAATAAGTCCAAAATTAGCAAAAATAAAACATAGTGTGAAATCAATTTCAGGTGAAGATGGACAGGTTTGAAGAAAATGTTTTTTCTTTTCTTTCTGTAATATAGACAAATCATTTTCGTTTTTGAATTGTTTCATACAATTCACAGCGTTGGTCAAACTGTTCAAATATTACCAACAAAAACGCGACCGAAAAAATTAATCTTTGTTGGGTCAAATGGTCATCGATATCAATATTTATTAAAAGGTCTTGAGGATCTTCATCTAGATGAGCGTATTATGCAATTATTATCAATAATAAATGTTATATTTACTAAAATAAATCGTAATGAAGCATGGTCATATGAAGCTAGAAACTATACTGTTATACCGTTGGCATCAAAAAGCGGTTTAATACAATGGGTTGAAGGTGCAACACCGTTATTTACACTTTACAAGCAACAGCACAAACATGGAAAGCTCAAGTATATTTTTCAATTTATATTTGTAAACAAAAAATTGTTTGTTAAAAATGTTTTTATTAAAAATGAAAATCAAGAAATTACTTTAGCTACAGCTTATTATCCAAAAATAAAATGCTATATTAAAAGAAAAAGTAAAATAGAAGATATAAATTTTATGTTTCTTTTTTTTTTATTATTTATTTAATTTTGAATATAGGGAAAATCACCAGTAGAAGATCGTCGAGAAGTACAAATGCCGATATTACGTCAATATATTGAAGAATTAATACGTGAAACACCAGCAGATCTTTTATCACGGTTAACTTTTTTCTATTCATTTTTAACTAGCATTTTATTTTGGTTTTGTATATTTAGTGAACTCTGGTGTAGTTGTCCAAGTGTTAGTTTATGGTATAAAAATGTTCAAAATTATAGGTACAAATTCTTCATCTGTAAAACTATATGTTAATCTATAGATAACCGCAGCTCTTCTTTCAATATGAAATAATTTTCAAGTGATCTTCTAATACTAAGAAATCCGAGAATACTGAAAGCATGAGGTTGTTTAAGAATATTTTGATAGAAAATATCTTACAAACAAATGTAGCATGGTTAAATCATACAGTACGCAAATACTTAGAGATAGATAGTTTCATTTTACCAAATCACTGACAGTGAGTTTATTCTAACAGTGACTATACTAGAACATTGAAGTGTATTGGTACACTAGATATATATAAATAATAGTTAACATCAGTGTTTCCATTTCATTAGTCATTTACTGTCAGTATTCATAATAAAGTAGCACATCTCTAGATATGTCACATACATTATAGAATATTAGTCTATTGTTCTCAGTATGTAACTTTTTGGTGCTCAATCTATAAGAATCGCATAGCTCGTATCTGTGAATGTAATGAGTTACTTGTTCATAAATCTTATTCAGTAATTATCTAAATACAGTCTCTGATGATATATCAACAAGGGTTGTCACCCCTACATCAATTACTAGTCACAATCCTTAAAGGATTCTAATGTCTGCACCTATACTTCAACACTCTCTTTAGATCGTATTGTACACAGATATAGTATGCAGAAAGTTTCTTTGAATATGATATTATCTTTGTTATATAAAAAATAGTTTCCAATGTTGATATCGTATATAGTTAACATTTTTGAATGAAATAGTATCTACTTAAAATGAATACTGATTATACCAAATTTTTAATGATATTCTGTTGCAAATTTTAGTCGTTCATTAGCTGTAACATCAATGATTGGATATATAATTTCTTTTATAAGTGTTTATTTCATCTAGATAATTCATATTGATTACAATATTTGTTTTGAAAAAGGTAAAAAATTACGTGTAGCAGAAAAGGTTCCATATCGTTTAACACAAAATTTACAAAATGTACTTGGTATTGCTGGACTTAAAGGTATTTTTCATTATCATCAGAAAATGTTCTTAGAATATTACGTAATAGAAAAGAAATTTTACTTAATTTACTTAAATCATTTATTTATGATGCATTAATTGATTGAACTGGTCATGATACAGGTGTACTTGCTGCATTTTATGGAGGTTAAAGTAGTTTATTTGATCAAGTAACAATGGAAAAACGTCAAGTTGAAAAAGATTCTTTATTTCGAATGTTTCATCTTCGTACTATTGAAATGCGACAAAATTGGATTACTTTAGGGTAAAAAATAAATAAATAAATAATTTGAAATAAAAATATTTTAGTGAATCAATTAATACAACATGTTAATGATATAAATAAATTAGCAAAAAAAATATTAATAAACATGATATAAGAATGAATATTATGGAAAGATGTTTAGATTATTTTAAAACAACATTAGAAAATTCATCAACAAATCATGCATTATTTTCATTACTTGATAGGTAAATTCTTTCTTTTGCTTTTGTTCTATATAATAGAAATTACAGACAATACGAACAGATATGAATACAACAAACGATTTAGTATTAACATTTAATCAAAATCTTGAAAAATATTTTAATAAATAGTGGTGTAAGATATTGAACAGAAAGTTTGTTTTTTTTTGTTACTAATTAAATTATGCAACCTTTTCTTTTTCGCCTTAGGAAGCACATGTAGAGTTACAATCAAAAATATTTTCTAATAAACTTCATAATTTCGTTGAAAATGATAATGTTTCAATTAGTACATCACCTGTGTTGTTCTTGCTGCAGATTTTCTTCAAGCAGCAGGAAAATCAACACTTCTTCATCAGATAATTAAATAGTTGTAATAACTAGACAGACTTTTAAAAAAGTATTGAATTATTTTTTGACCTAAAATTCTCAATAAAAATCTTTGAATGAGGATATTGAGATGATCAAGACTTTCGAAATTTGTTTAGAAATGCTTTTAATAAAGTAACTAATAATTTACTTATAATTAGACCTTGGTGAGTTATAAAAAGGGTTCGAAAGATTTGTATACATAAGCATTCCTTGTCTGAATATTTTTCATGCGCATAAAAGTAATCCTAAGATATTTTTGATCTTTATTATCCAAGAAGAGGCTAAAACTTATTTGAAAGTGAAATTAATCATAAATAAATTATACTAGACGTTTCAATATTTTTGCTTTACTACAATTACATTCAAAATAGAAATATGTTTATCTTCTTAATTTTCGTATGAAACCAATTGTTAAGAATTTAGCAGTACGATAAATGTTTGCATTTCGCGAGAAAATCATAGTAAAATATAAAGAAATATTGAGATTTATCATCTGCGAACTTCTTAAGATATAACAACATTGAAAAGTCAAATATCATCTATTTGTCATTGGATCTAGTGTTAAGGAATATTGAAAATTCCATAAGGAACAGTTATGAGCAAACGAACGCTTTGGAAATTACTGCTCATTTAAAAGAAAAGACGGGTGGGTATTCTTTGAATAACTTTTAATAGGAACAAGATAGAAAGCTGCGTTCTTTACAGTTTGGAAAGAGGTGATGAAACTACATCGATTTGTGTATTTCAAATTTTTTCTGACAAGTATTTTGAAGGATTTCTCATGAATTTTTTTAAAAAATCAATGATTTTAGACGTGAAAAAAAATTAATTTTTTATCAAAGACGAAGAAAAAAAGCGATTTTTTCGCTAAAAATCAGCCGAAAACAAACAGTAACATGTTCAAAACTCATGACTAGCTAAAGATAATAATCTCGGGTTTATAGAGGTGATACAATTTTCGTTAGTGATTCGAGTGCCTTCCTGAAAATTAAAAGTTCATAATATTCACATGATGTAATGTTTTGTCTTTTGAAAACTTGTCTAGAAACCCTTAAAATACTTGTCAGAAAAAAATCTGAAATATATAAATCGATGTAATTTCATTGCCTCTATTCCAACGGCGAAAACTGCAGCTCTCTATCCTGTTTCTATCAAAAGTTATTCAAAAAATATCTACCCGCCTTTTTTTTGAAATAGGTAGTAGTCTTAGCTCACCAAAATCTACTTATCGTCAAAATATTAGTTCAAAAGGTTAAAAACATTGTATCTTGTTGAAAATACCATTAAAGCGATCATAACTCGAGCAGAAAGAATTATCAACACAAGTCTCGTCTAACTTCTTTCAATAGGATTGAATTTTTTCTTTCAAATGCTTTACACTAAATCAAAAATAATTGTAAACTTTTTCGAAACTGTCTTTCTTTTTTTCTCTGAGAGAAATTCATTAAAGTTCGGAAGTCTAGAAAATCTTTCTAAATATTTTTAGTAGATACTCAAACTCGAGTGAGATAAATTAGATGGGGACCATAAACAGATCTGTGAACATCACAATTTTCCCAGAAAAAACTTTGATTACACTTTTCTCTCGGAAACATGTCTTTTTTCTTATCTGTTTGATTTATATATAATCGAAAACAAAAAAAGAGACCAGAATACTTTGAAAATTCTATCAATTATCTTATTTTCAAATACATATCTTCTAATTTAATGATAATATTTATTTTTTTTAGAGTGAACAATTAGATGATGAATTACGAAATTCCTTAAAAGTTTATCGAACTGTAAGACAATCAACAGTTGTTAATATTTTTTAAAAAATCTTGTTGATCTTTGTTAATATTTACCTATTGATTATATTCAATTATCATTATTGAGTAATCTTAAAGATCATCTTGGTGAACTTTGTTATAATTTTACAACATAGAAGTAAAATTTCTGTTTTTTTTTCTATTAAGGAGATGTCGAGAATTTTTAAATCATATCGATACATATTTTTTTAATGGATGAAAAATCTCCAATACGTTCAGAATTAATAATTCGAACATTATCAATTGATAATCAACTTAATGAATATATTCAAACAATCAATCAAGAAATAACTAAAATAAAATATTCTTTTTCTTGTTTATTAAAAATCGATTTCTTTCATATAAATATCTGAATTACAAATATTTATTAATCAATCATCGACAAATTATAGAAGTGTACTGGATACAAAAACTTTAAAGTAAATAAAAATTTATTAATTTAATTGATTAAATTGTTTGTTTCTAATATTAGATGTAGATTATAATGAAAATACAAATTATCGTAATATACTTATACTTATGTCATTTGATCGATGGCAACATTGTCGTCAAATGAGTGATCTCTTATTAGTAATACTGCTTATTTTACTTCAATTATTCAACAAAATAATATAACGATGGGAAATAAAATTAATAGTAGAATTCGATATGAAAAATAATATTTCTATTTGTTTTAGTCGTTCAATTCTTCACTTATTGATTCATCAGCAAAATTAATTATGAGTTTAGAAAATGTCTTTCGTTTGTTTAAGGTTGGTAAAATTATTTTTATCATCACAGTTTATATTTTTTTTTTATAAAGAATGAAATAGAAAGTTTATTCTACACATAAAGTTATCATAGTTAGAAAAGTAAATATAAGAGTAAAAACAATAAAAAAAAAAAGATCCAAGAAATCCTCTACGTACTCTGACCATGCTCAACTTCTTATGAGACACTCATGTACTTGAATGTTCTTTCGAGAATAGTTGCCCAACTGTCTACATTGTTTTCAGCCCTAGACTATATAGTTAGATATCCTAAAAAGGATTCCGACACTGAACTTATTATTGGAAATATATTGCACTTTGTCACTATTTTTCAAATGAATACCACGGTTATAGAAGAATTAGTTTTTTTTGTTAAATTTCAATCTAACACTTTGCATTGAGATAGGCCTTAATAAAATTATAAATGTTATAGATCGCTTCTCTATTTCCATTCAAATATGTAATTATGATAAAAGCGTGTCTTTTACTTCGTTCATATGAGTAAATATATTTGATGCTCAAATTTTATAATAGACGCAAATTGAAAAGTGTGAAAATTTTATACCCTCAATGAAACTAAAATTTCAAATCGAAATTCGAAAATGAGTTTATCTATTAATACGACATTCGTTTAAAATATACTGTTGAAATGACAGTATTTCGCAACAATAAGAGAGGATTATGAACTCTTTTCATTACTTTTTTGGGTTTACATAATCTTGACTCAAAAATGATAAATCATTTGGAGAACTTTCCTTTTAAGATTAAAAGTAAGATAGAAATTTTTCAAGTTGTTAGCTATAGTCATTCAAAAACAATTATCTTCAATGTTAGAATAAAGTATTTCTAAACTTTTCTTCTTAGGTAATGATATGTTCATTCTGAATATTTCATTAGAATTTCACATAATAAATGGCTCGTAATACATGAAATAAAATGTCTTCTTCTACTTTGAAGTACTTTTTAATATATATATATTCAAGTAAACCTTGCTTATAAAGAGCTATACTAAAAGTTAAGTACATGAAGTCAATAAAAAGAAAATTAGATGCTTTTTGCTTCTATGACCTTATCATACCTTCTATTGCTTTATTTAACAGAAAAATATTTTGAACCAATACCTAGTGATATATCGTGATATATTACAGAAAACTATGTTTTTCAAAGCGAGACTTAGTCTATGATACGTCTATACCTATACCATCAAGTGTCGAACTCAATTCAAAACAAAATAATATAGAATGTCCCAAAAATCGAATGTAAAAGAAAATTTGAATAACTCTTCAACGATTCGAGTGATTTTATCGTTTTATAGGAGATTCTCTAAAATTTTATTTTATATGTATACAATAAAAATTTTAAGCAAGTTTAATTCAATTTATTTTAAAAAAAAATTATATAAATGGCTTGAATTTCTCTAATGCTTTTCATAATTTTCTTATGCGCAGCTTTTTTTAAAATTCCTTGTGCAGAAAACTTAAAGGAAAGGAATATCAAGATCAATGTTTATTCAAAAGAAAGTCTAATCATTCTTAGAATTCTCTGAAAATTTCAGCTAAAACCATTGGTTCTACCCTAAGATATCGAATTTTCAAAAAATGTTCATAATTAACAAAAATATCAGAAAATGTTAATGTCTTCGACATTGAGTAAGTTAGAAAAGAAACATCTGTTCTGGCTGAAACTTTCAGAGCATTCTATGGACTATCCAACCTGTATTTGAATCAAATTTCATTTAAATATTCCTATCCTTTGTTTTAAGAAACATTCGTGACTTTTGGGACACTTTGTATGACAATTAAATTGATAAGTAGATATATTATGAAAAGAGTAATGATATAGTTTCTCCCAAAAACTTTTTCTTAGAGATTTTTTTTGATTTCAAAACAATTTTCTCTTATAAATTTCTTCTAAACTTCGAACATATTATCAAACTGTACAGAATTTTGTGGAAAACTTTGTATCATTTTTAAAGTTTTGAGAAAAAATTTTCTGAATAATTTTTTATTGATCATGAGATCATCTTATGACAATGTGAAGTTTCTTTTAAAATTGAATTAAGATTGAATTTATAATTTTAATTAAATAGAATTTATTAAACAATTTTGAATTAACTATAATTCGATGTTTAATTCTTGGTGCTTTTTCTAAACACATTATAGTCTTACATTATGTATGGATTTATTAAATAATGCTTTCATACAAATTCAAGCAATGAAAACTCCAAATGTAAATTATTTTATATGTTTATTAAAAAAAGAACAAGAAAACAAATTATTATATGTTTTATTGTCATTCATAGTCAACAACATCAGTTGATGATACATCTCAAATAGTTTATCAACAACTACATTCATCTTCGACAACATTTATGATATGATAATCATTCAATTTCTTTTATTTATATCTATATTTTTAGCATCAAATGAAATATTTTTAAATTTGTCAAGTTCTTTCAATGATCTGGATAAAGAATTAAATAATATTTATAAATATTTTCAAACATTGAATATACCTTCGATTTGGTTACAATCACTTTTATTTGATTGGAAATAGGTCTTTATTACTTTTTGAAAGATAACAAACAAATTGTTTTTAAAATTTATTATTTATTCTAGACAAATATTGATAATGAGATACATCAACACTTATTAACAATTTTTTTTTGCTATGAGTAAAATTGCGACAAGTGTGTCAATTGATTGTCGATCATTCACAAGCATTTGATAGTAAAAGAAATATCTTAAATTAAATTTTTCAAATATATTATCTTAGATCTTTCATAGATCTTCAAACACAAATAATAAAAGATAATAATCTTAGTAATATAATTAAACAACTTATTATTTTTTATATTGTTCAATATGTAAGTAAATCGATAGTATTATTTTATATATTTAAAAAAAAGAAGAGCAGACGAGTACGAAGACATAAATCTTTATCTGATTGTGAAAATGATAACATGATATCATATTTATAATTTTTATTATGAATTTTTGGTTTTGTAAATGTTTGTTCTTCTTTTTCTAATTTCCATAAAATTCTTTCAATAACTTGTGATATTCCTTGATGAGATGAAGACAAAAATGGTTTTAGTTGAATAGAATATGTTTTCAGTTGTTGATAAGCTTCTTTATTAAATGTAAGAGCAAAAAGAATTTCTAAAGTAGGTTGTTGTACTTGAAGTGGTTTAAATTTAATATCTGTTGCACAACGAATAATTAATGAAAGACCATTTTGTTTTATTAATTCATCTTTAATTTAATCATATTGAATTAAATTTAAACAAAAAAACAATATTTAAATATTAATAATTGAACAAATTCAAAAAAAAAAAAAAAGAAAAATCATTTAAACTTACGTTTGAGACATCGAAGTAAATCATAAAATCTTAATGTTTGATTTGAATCATCAATAACTTTATTAAGAAATTTAATAAAAAGATCTGCAATATTATTTGAATAATCAACATTTTTTGTTTCTTGTTCAGTTGTTATTGATAAAAGAATTTTAAATGCATTTAATTGTATTTCATCATTTTCAAAATTCGTTAATTTTAATATGAATGAAATAATATGTTTATTTTAAATATATTTTTCTAATTGTTTTGATAATTTCATTGTATATAAATTAGGTATTATTGTTCCAATTAATGAATGTGATAATTTATTATTTATTTTATTATCAGATTGTATTATTGAATAAAGTATATTAATAAATGAATCAATAATTTGACAATAATATCAGGCCTCGCAGCGTGTTTACTTTCCTGATTTATTCCTGATTTTTTAAGACTGTCCTGGTTTTCCTGTTTTTGACCAAAAATCCTGATATTGTCCTGATTTTTCCTGACTTATCAATATAGAGCCTTTGTTTTGGCATTATTATGATATCTTGGATGTTCTTAGACTAACCCTTATCGAGATTCATATTAAAATAGGTGCAAAATATTTCCAGGACAATGATCACAGTCGCCGTAACTATCAAAAACGATAACGTATAACGTCGTTTCATACAGTTTGCAGTCGTAAATAGTCATAGATTGGCATTTGATAGACACAGTATTACGACCGTATCTTATTCTTTCGTGCACAGTTAATGATGACAGTAAAATCGTCTGAAAATCGAGTATTCGCTCGTTTATGATCGTTTATTACACAGTGACATGCGGTGGTAATATTACGCCTATCAAAAGGTAAAAACTTTCTAAAATAGTTGTTTACTACCGTGTTTGTATGACATGAGTTTATTCATAGAGAAAGAACTATTAATTTCGCATCATATTTTTTTGTTATTTCTTTTTTCGTTTCTTTCGTAACTAGTCCGAACTATCGATGTTTCTTACGAACCGATCATGCTGCCTGTTTTGAGCTATCGAGACCATGATCTTCTACTATTGGAGACATAAAAGATACGGTGGGAGACAGTGATTGGATACTCAGTAAAATACTTGGTACTTTCGATACTTTTACTGAGTATTCTCGATTACTTAAGTACAGTCTAATAGTATCAGTAAATTTACTTTGTATTGAAAGATTGTACTGAAGTACCAATATTTGTACTAATTTACTGAAGTACCAGTATTTTAAGTACAAAATGTACTTTAATCAGATATCAATATCCTTATATATTACTACTTTGTATTCTCAGAAATATCTACAAAGTATTCGTGATATTTTAACCTACACTATAAATTCATGTCTTTTGAATTTTCCTTGGTCATCAGTGTTGATTAGTTATATCAATGCTGTTTTATGGTATCTATTTGTGAGACTTGTTTTCTGAATAAAGATGGACCCCCATTTGTGAAACTTCTTTGTGGATGGACATCTAAAAGTAATTTTAAATATAATTTTATTGAAATATG